TCCCAGCACGGTGTGGCTGGGAGAAGGCCTGGCGGGTACCCGAGCACCCCCCTCCCCTCCACCCGCTCCTCCCTGCGCTCCGACAGCCACAACCGCTCTTGGTTTCTTTTCTGTTCGAAGGTGGCCGAGAGAATAAAATGCCCATCTTGATCTCCAAGATCTTTAAGGGGCTGGCAGCAGACCAGACCGAGGCGCTCTACGTGGGGGACGCCATCCTCGCCGTCAACGGGACCGACCTGTCTGAGGCAACGCACGACGAGGCGGTGCAGGCGCTGAAGAAGACGGGCAAGGAGGTGGTCTTGGAAGGTAGGAGATGAGGGAGGACGAGGGTCTGGGCTGATCCCCTTTTTTTTCCCAGCAATGTACTGAGTGCACGGGGATGGTGCGTCCTCTGCACGTGTATTTGCGTCCCCTTTCCAATGGAAAACTGGTTTATCTGCTCATCCAGAGAGCTGGAGGTAACTGCTGGGATCTCCCTCCGGAGAGACACGTGTGTGCCATCGCCCAATGCCCAGTGGAGCCATCTCCCAGCTGCGGGACCACGGGCAGACGGTGATGGGAGCCATGGGGTGGGTTTATGGGGTTTGGGACTCTTCTGTCCTCTGGCATCACCCTGAGGCCATGGAAAGGGTTTTCTGCTTTTCATGTGATTTTCATTTAAACCCCCCCATCCTCAGCTGGTGTGGGCCTGTGTTTACACCAGCGGGGAGGGGGGACACCAGCACCCCACTACTTGCTGGGCACCTCTTGGTTTGCTGGGGCAGGCAGAAGGAGCAGGCTCTAGGGACAGGCAGGACAGCTTGGGACCACAGCCCCACGAGCTGCCTCCCTATGGGGTGCCCAGCACCTGAACCCCAACCACAACCCCACAGATCTGCATCTGAGGCTACAAACATCCCAGGGTCTGTAGAATCATAGAATCACAGAATAGTTTAGGTGGGAAAGGACCTTCAAGCCCACCCAGTGCCACCCCCTGCCCTGGGCAGGGACACTTCCCACCAGACCAGGTTACTCCAAGCCCCCTCCAACCTGCCCTTGAACCCCTCCAGGGATGGGGTGGGCCTGGGCCACCAGGGTCTCGCCACCCTCAGAGTGAAAAATTTCTTCCTGAAATATCATCTTAATCTCCCCTCTTCCAGTTTAAAACCGTTCCCCCTCATCCTGTCAAAGGAATCACAGGATCCCATCAAAAGATCCCATCACAGGATCACGGCCTTTGCTGTCCCAGAGGGGACTGGAGCTTCTCCCCTGGGAACAGGCTCCTTCTTGGCACTGAGTGGCCGGTCCCTGGTCTCCCAGCCCTGGGGGGGCTGGCACCCTGCAGGAGACCCCCAAACACCCTTGGGGAGTGGGTGAGGGCTGGTGGGTTGGGACTGTGGGAGCCCTGAGGCAGGGACCCCGCTTTTCTCCCGTTACCCTTCACATCACGTCTCACGGTGCTTGCCCATCTTCTGCCAGCTTGGATCTGCACCCAGGATCTGTCCCCTGGGATGGGACCCTTCCCCTCCCCACAAGCCACACGTTGGCACTGGAGACCCTTACCAGTGTGGTTGTGGGGCTGCAGATCCCGAAGGGAGGTTTTTATTTTGGGGGGAGCACTCTGGGCTCCAGCCTGGACAAAGAAGAGCTCTGTGTCTTCTGCTGCCAGCAACCGCCGCGGCTCTTGCTTTCCCTGCGCCTTCCCCAGATTGTCTCAGCTCCAGATTTTCCTTTTTAGCTTCGCTCAGCCCTTTCTGCTGTGGGTTCCTCTTCTCCTGGGAGCCGCAGGACCACGGTTCAGCCGGAGGAATGTGCTGCTCTGCACAGCTGCTGGGAGCAGATAGGGTTGGTGGTGGGGTTGGGTTGTGTGTGTTGGGTTTTTTTTTTTTCTCTCGACCAAAGAGAAATACAAGAGCCTCTTTCTCTGGGAGCCTGCGAAATTCCTCCCCGTGGCCGCTGTTCTCGGACCACCCTCTCCCTGTTATTTTCTTTTCATCCTTTACTTTGGCGTGGGTTTCCTTTCTGCTAGAGGTCCTGCGGGAGGTGGGGATGAGCTGCTCTTTCTGTAGAGAGAACAACTTCTCTCCCTGGACCTTCTTCTCCTCCTCTTCTTCCTCCTCCTCCTCCTTCTTCTCCTCCTCCTCCATGCCCCTGGGGACCTGCCAGGTTGCCCTCCCGGGAGGCAGCTGCAGGCAGGGCTTTTGGTTAGCTCACCAAGCTCAGGTATGACCCGCTGGGCTTCTTAATTAATTAATTTAAACTCCCAGCAAGTACCCTTGGGAGGGGAACGGGGCTGGGCTGGCTCCCACTGCAACACGCTGGAGGTTTGTAGCTGATGCCATCGGGCTCCCATGGCACAATGTTCCTTGGGCAACTGCTGGGGCTGGGCAGGGGTCCCTGCTGCTGGTCCCATCACAGATATCAGGGACACACATGGTGCATCTCCATCTCCTCCCCGATTTGGGTTTGCTGGTGTGATACAGCCCTGCCCATGGAGGATGGTAGGGCTGGCACCATGGTGTGGTCCCCATGGGGCTGTCACTGCCCTGTGGAGGTGGTGGCCTTGCCTCTGGTCGGGATGTCCCCTGCCACCCCTGTGGCTCTCCAGGAGCCCACCAGGGAGGGGTGGCAGGGCTGGGGTTCAGAGCGTGGCATTATGGTGCCTGAAAGGTGTTAATGGGGGGGCTTCCCTGCTCCCTTCTTTTGCTTGGGCTCACTTCAGAGCTTGGAGAAAAGCACCTTAACGTCACTTAGATGCTTTCTGGTCCCCCACTGTGCTGCCAGGTGTGACTCAGACGTCCCTTAGGGTTGCCCTAAGTACCAAAACTGAGTAGTTTGGTACAGACAGGGTCTGTTTGCTGCCTCGCTCCCCTTGGCTGCCTTCATTCCCAGTTGTAGGAATTTTTAGGGTGGTTTCCAAGTGGTGTCACAGGAGGTAAGATCTGGGAGAGTCTGCACCTCCTCACGGGGCACTGAGCTGGGGTGGGACTCTCCAAAAGGGCAGAGCTGGGAGACAGGGCCTTTTAATTTGGATGTGGGCAGTGGCCCCGCGTGCCAGTTTTCACCCTGCGGGGGCTGGAGAAGCTGGGCTTCTGGCTCCTGGGTGTCGTTGACATCCTGGTGTGAGGACACACAGAGACCTCCCGGTGTGTCCTGCCAAAATATTTTTTTTTTTTTTTCGGACGTGCCAAACTACTCTCTTGATATTTGCAGGAGGAGTTTGACTGTATTTATATTACATGGCTATTTCCCCTCTTTCAGTCTATAGCCCTTCCCCCTCCTCCTGTGGCTCCCCTCCCTGACCAAGAGTCCCTCCCCATCTCTCCTGGAGCCCCTTTAGGGACTGGAAGGGGCTCTAAGGTCTCCCCGGAGCCTTCCCTTCTCCAGGCTGAATCCCCCAACTCTCTCAGCCCCCCCTTCCCAGCAGAGGGGCTCCAGCCCTCCCAGCATCTCCATGGCCTCCTCAGGCCCTGCTCCAACAGCTCCATGTCCTCCTTGTGCTGAGATGCTGTTGATGGTGTTGCCCCTTTTTGGAACGCTGAGGAGAAAAAAAAACTCAAGTGGAGGTGGAACAAAGAGCAAAGAGCAGGGCAGAGCCAGGAGGGCCTTTGGTTAAACATGTCCCCGATGCAGCTCACTGTGGGGTTCGGGGCACGCGCGATGCTCCTGTGCCATAACCCCTCTGCAGAGGGACCATCCAGCCACTGGTGGCCACGAGCAGCTTCTCGCACTTGGGGGCCTCCTCGGAGACTTTTGCTGTTCCCCCAAACCCTAAAATAAAGTGTTACTCAGTGCAAAGCCCCGAGCAGTTAAAGGTCTGATTTGTCACCTCCCCTCCATCCTGGAGAGGGTCAGTGGGACGAGCTGTCTCCCCGTGGGAGAGCAGGAGCCCCTGTGGCTTCTGGGGGCCTCTTGGATTTGCCCAGCAGCCCCCGAGAGGGCTGTTTGCCTGCTGAAGGGGGCTCGAAGTCACCAGCAGCGAGGCAGGGTTTCTGCCCAGGGATTTTTGGAGGGTGCTGGGTAACAAGGAGAGTTGCAGCCAGCCTGGGAGCCCCAGCACCACTAAAAAAAAGACACACAAAAAAGACAATCATTAACAATTACCAGTAGCAGAGATGATGCATAGTATGGTGTGAGTTGTTTGCTTTCATGAGGTGGAGGTAATTAATTAATTCTGTTTGATAAGAGGCGATTCCTGTGCAGTGAAGGGATTGGCAGAGCCTAAGTCACCCCGGGATAGAGCCCGTGGGGTCACCAGAGGAGATGGCAGCTCCCATGGGATGGTGGCCCAGCCCCACGGGGAGCACCGCAGCCTCCAACATGTCCCAGCTCCCCGTGCTGGTTTGGGACCCCCCCCATACTGCAGGAACCAGCCTTAAATCCCCCTTAAAGCCGTGTGCCAGAGAGACACAGCGTTCCCCGTGCCCCGTCCTGGGCTGGGTGCTGCTCCTCTCCTCCACGGAGGAGACGTGGGTCGGGATGTGACCCCACCAGGGCTCAGCTGACGCCGGTGACGTCCTCCACATTCCCGGGGAGCCAGGGGCTGGCACGGGGACGCCGCTCGGGTTTCAGTGGCCGAGTGCCATCTTCTCTGAACTCCAATTAGTTCCCAGGCAGCGGGATAATAAGCCGGTCCCCGCTGCCAAGAATAATGACTTGGGGTCAAATCCAACGCGGCTCGGATGCCTGCGGGAGCGCGGCCGGCTATTTATACGGGGGGGAGGACGGGGAGGCGCAGGGCACGAGGCTGGTGGCCCCCACGCCGCCTCCTTGGCCCCCGGGGCCACCGCGGGGGGAACCTGACCCACGTGTCGCAGCGGCATCGTGGCCATTTATAGCTGGGTCCCGCTGGGGACGGGCAGAGCGGGGCGCCCCGGGGGGCTCTGCCTCCCTGCCACCTCCCACCGCGGTGGGATTTCGGGATGCAGAGGTTTTGGGGACCTTGCTGGGACAGGAGTGAAGGGGGAGGTGGGGGGTGGTGGGCAGGTGGAGGATGGGGGCAGTAGGCTCTGCCGGCAAACTCTCTCCTGCTGCAAAAAGGGCTTTTTTTTTTTTTCTGGCATAAAATCAGGCTGATGGGGCTTTGCTGCATCAAAGGAGCTGGTCCGATGACCAGCACCTATAAGAGTTGGCTGCAAAGCCAAGCTCCTGTCCCCCCCTCTCCTGCCACCCACACCACTGACTTGGAGATGGAGCAGGACCAGTGGTGGGTGATGCTGGGGGACGGGGCAGCAGGCTCGTGTCTCTTCAGTGGTTTCCAGCGATAGGACAAAGGGCAACGGGCACAAGCTGGAACATAAGAAGTTCCATTCAAATACGAGGAAGAACTTCTTTAGGGTGAGGGTGGCAGAGCCCTGGAACAGGCTGCCCAGGGAGGTCATGGAGTCCCCTTCTCTGGAGATCTTCAAGACCCACCTGGATGCCGTCCTGAGTGATGTGCTCTGGGCAGTCCTGCTTAGCAGGGTGAGTTGGACTGGATGATCTCTAGAGGTCCCTTCCAACTCTGACAATTCCGTGATTCCATGTCTGCCCTGTGGTGTTTTCCCCAAAGGCCACCAAAGGGAAGCCCTTCCAGTTCTGGGCTCCCCAGTTCCAGAAGGACAGGGAACTGCTGGAGAGGGTACAGCAGAGGGCTACAAAGATGATGAGGGGCCTGGAGCATCTCTCACGAGGAAGGGCTGAGGGACTTGGGCCTTTTATTCTGGAGAAGAGAAGGCTGAGGGGGGATCTGATCAACACCTATAAATACATAAAGGGTGGGTGTCAGGAGGATGGGGCCAGTCTTTTTCCAGTGGTGCCCAGGGACAGGACAAGAGGGAACGGACACAAACTGTAACACAGGAAGTTTCACCTAAACATGAGGAGGAACTTCTTTCCTGTGAGGGTGGCAGAGCCCTGGAAGAGGCTGCCCAGAGAGGTGGTGGAGTCTCCTTCTCCGGAGACATTCAACCCCACCTGGACACGTTCCTGTGGGACCTGCTCTGGGTGGCCCTGCTCTGGCAGGGGGGTGGACTGGATGATCTCCAGAGGTCCCTTCCAACCCCATAGCATTCTGTGATTTCCCGGAGCCACCAGCCCTGTGGGCAGGACCAGGGCTGGTCCCAGGGGCACGTGGGGCACCTTCCCTGCTCAGCCCAAACTTTTTTGGCCGGTGCTGCCGGCTTAATTTTTGGGATGTAGCTACGGGGCCCCATCAATTCGTGGTGACTTTCATCTCCCCCTTCCCCTAAGCCATCTCTGAGGGCACTGGCTCCGCAGCCAGACCCGCTGGGGACCGAGGGCTGGTTTCTCCTCCCTGGTTTGTGACTCCTGGGCAGGGCGATGCGAGGTGCCAGCACGCCCTTGGAGGCTTCTCCTGGGGCCAAGCCATGGTATTTGAGAGTTGTTGTTCCCCGTTGGCGGGAGGACCGGCTGTACCAGCAGGGTTTGGACTGTGTCATTTTGGCTTGGGACTCCTGCCCATTCCCTGCCTCCCCGTGCCACCCCGGGGACTCCATCGGACTCCGATCTGGGAATGGATCTGGGTTAAAGGAAATTTAAAAAAAAAAGGGGAAAAGGCCATTTTTACCCCTCCCACGGGGCTCCCTGGACTGGGATGGTGGGTAGGAGGTACTGGGAGGATACTAGGTGTCACGTCACCCTCTGGTACAATCTTGCCCACTGGTGCCATCCCCTCCCCATGCCCACAGGGGTGCTGAGCATAGGACCCCCCACAGCACCCATGGGTGATGGCTCTGGGAAGGCATGAGGAGGCACCAGCTCCAACACAGGGAGGGTGTAAGGGGTTTCAGGGGGTGCTGACGGGCGGGATGAGGCCATCCTGGTCCACACCGTGCCCTCAACCGAGTCCTGCCTTTTCTTCCAGTGAAGTACATGAAGGAGATCTCCCCCTACTTCAAGAACTCCTCCGCGGGGGCGACGGTCAGCTGGGACCCCTCTCCCTCCGCCCTGCAGAAGCGCTCGTCCCCCCTCCTGCCCCCTCGGGAGCTCCGGGAGGGCAGGACCGTGCCCTTGAAGATGTGCTACGTGTCCCGCAAGTGCCTCCCCGCCGACCCGGAGCACAGGTCAGGCCACGGTTGTCAGGGGGTGGGCGATGCCACTCGGGGTGCCCCCGGGTCACCGAAGGCCGGTGGGGACCCAGCGGGGGCTGTGTCCCTGCAGGTACCTGGAGGTGTGCTCGGCGGACGGGCGCCTTGCCCTCTTCCTGCGGGCCAAGGACGAGGCCACGGCGCAGTCGTGGCTCAGTGCCATCCAGGCCAACGCGGGCGCCCTGCTCCCGAGGGTGAAGGAGGAGCTGCGAGCCCAGCTGGCGGGTGCCGGCGCGGTGGCCGGACGGGACATCAAGCACGTGGGCTGGCTGACCGAGCAGGTACCCCCCAGACACGTCCCCCTGCCACCACCACCCCATGCCACCACACTGCTGGTGGCCATAGAATCGTAGAGCCATAGAATGGTTTGGGTTGGAAGAAGGGACCTCAAAGATCATAGAATCATAGAATGGTCTAGGTTGGAAGAGACCCTTGGGATCATCGAGTCCAACCATCTCCCCTACTCTACAAAGTCCTCCCCTACACCATGTCCCTCAGCACTGCATCTAAACGGCCCTTAAACACAGCCAGGGATGGGGACTCCACCCCCTCCCTGGGCAGCCTGTTCCAAAATATTTGGCATGGCTTTATCTTTCCTCTCCACTACCCAAATATGAAAAAGGCAGTATTAAAATGCTCTGAAATGACTGCTTATAATAATTGGTGCTGTGTGCCTTTTGTATCCCTATTGAATTTTGTCTTTTGTGCATATACCCCATGTAGCTTCAGGGACTACTTTGTTCCAGTGGGATGTGGTGAAGAATTATCCACATTAGTGGAAATGGAATCAGTAGATGTATCTCAAAAGGGAGTATACCCACGTTAGGTGGCAGGGTATAGCCATGTCTGCAGTGGAGCTGTGCCTCAGCTTGCCCTTCAGCACACACCTCACCATGTAAAAGTGGATCCAAGCACCACAAAGCACCTTCAGCCCTCATCAGAGCCCAGGGTCTCAGCCCACAGCACGGGGCTCTTGAGATCATAGAATCATAGAATCATAGAATGGTCGAGGTTGGAAGAGACCCTTGGGATCATCGAGTCCAACCATCTCCCCTACTCTACAAAGTCCTCCCCTACACCATGTCCCTCAGCACTGCATCTAAACGGCCCTTAAACACAGCCAGGGATGGTGACTCCACCCCCTCCCTGGGCAGCCTGTTCCAATGCCCGACCACTCTTTGGGTGAAAAATTCCTTCCTAATGTTCAGGCTAAACCTCCCCTGTTGGAGCTTGAAGCCATTCCCTCTCGTTCTGTCACTAATTACCTGTGAGAAGAGACCAGCACCAACCTCTCTACAGTGTCCTTTCACGAAGTTGTAGAGAGCGATGAGGTCTCCCCTCAGCCTCCTCTTCCTCACACTAACCAGCCCCAACTCCCTCAGCCGCTCCTCATACGATTTGTTTTCCAGATCATCGAGTTCCAACCCCCCTGCCCTGGGCAGGGACACCTCCCACTAGAGCAGGTTGCTCAAGGCCACATCCAGCCTGGCCTTGAACACTTCCAGGGATGGGGCATCCACAACTTCCCTGGGCAACCTGTTCCAGTGCCTCATCATCACCTCCATCCCCTTCCAGCTCCCCAGCGCTGGCACCAGGAACCTGCTGGCCGTCCTCACCGAGAAGGAGCTGCTGCTCTATGGCAGCCTGCCCCAGAGCCGTGAGGCCATGGGCAAGCCCACCCACAGCTACCCCCTCATCGCCACCAGGTAGGGACAACTGGCCCAGTGTCCTCCTGCCATGCACAGGGAACAGGGTGGCAGCAGCGTCCAGGGGTGGTGGTAGGGGTTTGGGAGTGGTGGTGGGGGCTGGGGGTCAGGGCAGAACTTCAGGGATGGTGGCAGTGTCCATGGGTTGTGGCAGTGTCCAGGGGTGATGATAGGGGCTGGGGGTCAGGGCAGAACCTCAGGGATGGTGGCAGCATCCATGGGTTGTGGCAGTGTCCAGGGGTGATGGTAGGGGCTGAGGGCCAAGGCAGAACCCCAGGGATGGTGGCAGGGCCCAAGGGTTGTGGCAGTGTCCAGGGGGGATGGTTGGGGCTGGGGATGATGGCAGAGCCCCAGGAGTGGTGGCAATGACTGGGGGTGGTGGCAGGCACTGGGGGTCAGGGGAGAGCCTCAGGGAGGACAGCAGAGTCCCATGGTGGTGGCAGAGGCTTTTGAGATGATGGTAGAGTCCCAGGGTGGTGGCAGGGCCCTGGGACGATGGCGTAGCAGTGGGGATAATGGCAGGGCCCAGGGGATGGTGGCGGTGTCTAGGGGTGGTGGCAGCGCACTGTGGATGGTGGCAGGGCACTGGGAATGGGGACAATGTCCAGGGGTGGTGGCAGTGTCCAGGGCTGATGCTAGGGGCTGGGTGTCAGGGCAGGTCCCCAGGAATGATGGCAGAGCCCCAGGGTGATGGCAGAGGCTTTTGAGGTGATGGTAGAGCTGTAGCAGAGTGGCAGAGCCCTGGGGATGGTGACAATGTCTGGGGATGGTGACAGTGTCTAGGGGTGGTGACAGTGTCTAGGCCTGGTGGCAGAGCCCTGGGGATGGTGGCAGTGCCCCCGGGGTGGTGGCAGTGCCTGGGGGTGGTGGCAGTGCCCAGGGATGGTGACAGTGTCTAGGGGTGGTGGCAGTGTCCGGGGATGGTGGCAGAGCCCTGGGGATGGTGGCAGTGCCCAGGGATGGTGGCAGAGCCCCGGGGGTGTGACAGTGCCCAGGGATGGTGGCAGAGCCCAGGGATGGTGGTAGAGCCCCGGGGGTGTGACAGTGTCTGGGGATGGTGGCAGTGTCCGGGGATGGTGGCAGTGCCTGGGGGTGGTGGCAGTGTCCAGGGGTGGTGACAGTGCCCAGGGATGGTGGCAGAGCCCCGGGGGTGTGACAGTGTCCAGTGTTGGTGGCAATGTCCGGGGATGGTGGCAGTGCCTGGGGATGGTGGCAGTGCCCCCGGGGTGGTGGCAGTGCCTGGGGGTGGTGGCAGTGCCCAGGGGTGGGGACAGTGTCTAGGGGTGGGGGCAGTGGCC